AATAAAGTGCCCCTCGCGCTGGTCTCAGCCGATATTCATCAAAGTCAGTGATTCAATTAAGCGACTAGGATGATTTCTGGAGGGCATTTCTATGCTGCGCCCTATGGGGAATTGATGGTGACAGGTTCCGAGGGAGTGGAACTCCAGCGACAACAGCGAAAGAAGCGAAATTCCGACGAGTCGAGATTCCTCCATGTAAACTAGATTTATGCGATTAGTTGCGCGGTAGAGACGATGAAATCTTGAACGAGGCGAAATTTGTTCTGCTGTTGAGACGTTCTCTCAACCTTCGAACTGTCGAATCATTAATATCTAATTTATATTAGATCATCAAAATTTAAAACGTTAGTATTTCATGTTGTTTGTGATGGAGATTAGTAACGAAGTTCAAGGGATTCGTGGATCGCGATGAAAAATCCTGGAATAGCTTGCGATCGTTTAGATTTTAGTGAATGTTTAAAAAAATATAAAGTAAACGATACTATTTTGAGTATCGCTGAAATTTTGAAATGCAAAAATGCACGCAGTATACATATACATATATCTATAAAATAGACAAAATAATTTTTTTACTCGGAGTTTCTAAAAATATAATTGTATATTATAAAATTTATTATTTTATTATGTAGTAAAACGTTGTGACGTTTTGTTATACGTGTCTTTTTGTAGAAACTAATATGCAATTTTGCATTTATATTAAATTCTCGAGCGGTACATCAAAACAGAAATTCTTATGCAATTTAGTTAGCTGCCTCGCATGTCGCGACAAACTAGTTGATACATCAAAGACAAGGGGAGCGAAAACAGAAGTTGGCAGACAATGAGACACATAGAACTATAATTTCAAACAAATTCGATTATACTGCTAGCTTAAATAGGATCCCTATTTCCATGTTTTCGAGCAATTAATAACGTGCGACTAACAATTTGAATGTTATAATCGCGAAATTATTTATATAATTTGAGAATTTGGAAAGAATCCTTTGATGTACAGACGATGATTGTATATGTATGTGATGAATCAAAATAATATTGTGGAGTATAAAGAAGTAATACATAGTACAAAAATTTGGTCACATTTTTCTTGTATTTTTATTTCATACTCTTTAGCAGGAAGGATGGAACATGAAAGTTTCAAACGAAAGAAAGTTCAAAATTGATATTTTATACGTGTAGAATAAAAACTTGGGTCGAATATTTCCTCTGTCAAACATTCATCTATCTTAGAGTATAAAATTCATTTCTCTTCCCGGTTGTAATTCAGTTTCGTAAGATCACGAAATTTTTCGTCGTTTCATTCTTCAAACTTTTTTTTTTTCTTTACCATCGTTGTGATATTTCCAAGGAACGGATAACTATCTTGCATAGTGTATCGATTCACTGCTATTCCATTTACCAATTTTCACATTGTTCACTTGTAATAAAATGCAACGATAAATCGTGCTGCGTTCAATTTTTATTTTACGCGCATTTCACGATATTCTGAGAAGAATCCTTTGGCAACTTTAGCGCATAAATTCTCCGGATTGCGCACGTTGAAATCGCACAGGGCAAGAAACTAAGGGGAACGAGGAAGAAGAAGAGGACAAAAAAAGGTGCAGGGTGCAAGCTGTGCGTACGTAGATTACAGGATGAGAGTGCTATCGTATTTTTCCTCCAAGCGTAGATAATGCGTGCGAGCATCCGGTTGACGGAACGCGTGTTACCGAACAATTTGCTTAATACCTTGAAAATAAATCGCCAACGTATTTCACGTGTGTGTATCTCGATGCACGTCGCGTGTTCTTGTAAAGAAAACGTATAAAGAATTACGTAACGAGGTAGCATTAAATATTTGTGACCCGTTACGTGCACGATATGTACGGTGATACATCGAGCAGTCATTAATTTTTAAAGTGTAATTGCACGTTGGTTGATGAAAAAATGTTTACACATTATCGCTGGAAAGTCTTAGAGTAAGCGTTATATTTGTTTCAAATCCGCGAGAATTAGGCAATATTTTGTAATAAAAAATCTGTAAAGGACTAACATATTATGTAACAACAACAACAGTAATTCAATAAAATATAATAATGTAACAAAATATGGAAACAAAAATACTTCAATAAAATAAAAAAATGTAAGGTTTACGTATTTACAATGTTGAATATTGAATATTATATAATATATAATTATATATAAATATTGAATAATATAAAAAGTGTCCTCTCGAATTTGATACAAGCAATGCCAAAGACATTAATTAAAACATAATATCTCGAATCGTGATTGTTTCAGCGGAACTCGGGGACTACGATCCGAGACGACATTCAGTGGGCTACGTTACTGAATTTCGATTCCTGGCGAATCAAACCACGGAATTGGAAAATCGCATAGTGGAGCTCCATAAAACACTTGTGTATGTGCTACATTTACATTTACATTGCCTGTTATAAAATTTCTTCCCTTTGTTGCAACAGCGACTCTCGTTTTTTTTTTTTT